GGATTTGCATTGTTCTCAACTTTTACAACTAAAAACCCGCTTTCGCTTCGGCCGCATGCGGCGAGCCCAGACCCTGACTGGTCCGCCTTTCTTCCCAGCCATCTCGCTGGCGCACCAGCGCCGTGGGGCCTGTAGGCCGGGCCTGGGCCGAGCGCTGGTGGCTCGGGCGCCGCCGCGCATCCCGCTCCCTGCGAAACGGCCGCGCCCGCACCCCGAGGAGAAGAGCAAGGGCCAGGGTCGCGCCGGATCTCCACGCCCGAGGGCGCGCGGACCCCGCCACGCGCCTGCGGCTCGCACCCCGCGCGCCAAAAAAAACCGCCCCGCGCCGGCGGCTCGAGTCCAGCGCGCTGCCCACAACACGCGCGGTGAAAACGCCCGCTGCGCCAGCCTCCCTCGCCCCCCCCCCTTCGCCCTACTCCTCCGGAAAAAAATCCTTTAATGGATTAGGCTCTGGGAAGCGAAACTCGAAAACTCGCCATTACCCCTCTCCTTCCCGGCCCCTCACTCCGACCTGGAAAGCGCCTCTGGACAGCGGCGGTGGCCACCGGGCCCGGAGGGTCCCGGTGCGGCGGAGCTACCGGGCGGGGCCGAGCGGGACAGATCCGTAGAGGGGGGCAGGATGGGGGCAAATATTCGGGTTCGTTCGGGGTTCCACCAGAGCCGGGCGGGCGTCGTCGGCGCCCAAACCTCACCGACCGTTCGCCCGAAGCCACCCGAGCAGTTATCGCCGGACGCAGCCTGGCGGTTCCTATTCTGCCTCTATTATTTATTTTTAATGCTGGGTGTCGATCGAGACAAGCGCTCAGAGCAAAGCAAGGACGCATTACGGGGGGAATTTTAACCGATCGATATTTTCCAGAGAAAAAAATCGCTTATATACATAGTCTATTTTTAAAAAGCCTTCTCGACATAACGGATTTTTTAAAAAAGGGAAGATATCTATTTCTTAACAGCATAACTCCAAATTTCTCTTGATTAAAAAAATGTAAATCCCCAAAGCCAAAATAAAAAATAAAATACAAAAATACAAAAACAAAAAAAATGAAAGCAATTTCAGTTACTTACTGGAGGCTGTTTCCTGGATACAATTGAATGCAATACAATTAAATCAGTAAATGTGACTTTGTTTTGTATTCCTATTGGTATTTTCAATGTGCTGACTGTTGCACTGTAAATGCAGCGCTTCCACAACAACGACTCTAGCGAGCCCATCCAGAGCGGCTCTCAAACCTGCAGCCCGGCGCGGCGAGCCACCGGCCCTGCATACTAATAAGCTCGTGCCACTCAGCCCCGAGCAGCCCGCGCGCTGATTGGCCGCGCGGCCCACCGCGGCCGGGAGCTCGTGCCACTCATTCGGCGTAAACAGGCCTCCCAATAGGCTGGGGGGCCGGACTGGCGCGGGGCCGGGGAGCTGCCAATCAGGGAGCAGCGGGGCTACTACCAAGCCCGATGGCGCCTAATTCAAGCCCGGCGACTGCGCAGCTCCTCTGCGCAGATCGTTGCTGCTGAATGGGAATGTGGTGGCGCAGGGCGGGAGAGGGAGCAGAGGCGAGTGGGAGCGCGCGCGTGTCCAGGCCAGAGAGGCTTTTTTTTTTTTTTTTTTTTTCCAGCAGCTTTACCGTTTGACTTTATGGTGCACTTAACAACAACATCTTTTAGAGCAAATGATTAAAAAAAAAAATACCCAGAATCTGTCATGCAAGTGGCAGAACCAGGGCGAAGGAAGGCCTGACCTCCAAGCCCCATGGGCCTCCCTGGGTTGCCTGGCCCTTCCCCCCACTCCGAGGCCGCCCCTCGTCGGACTAGCTCAGGCATGCACTCACGCCCTCGGGCGGCTTGGGCAGCCACAGCTTCGTGATGGCCTATTTCTCTGCCCCTGCGGCGCTGGGGTCTGACCTGGGGAAGAGGATCTCATGTCCCCAGCGATCTACCTACTGACTCTCCATTTTATCTATCTCTCTCACACTGCGCAGAGAACAACGATCAAAATAAAAGCCCTGGATTTATTGCTAAAACAAAGATTATTACTTCTCAACTGATGCCAGCTTTTAAAAATATTTTCACCTTGATAATGGGGGTCGATGATGGGGTTGCTAGCATGTGAAAACTCGTGCATAGTACTTCTCTTCGCCGCCCTTCTACATACTCGCTAAATTTTCGCTCCATTGAAAGAGTCTCTGAACAGTTCTCTTTTGTAATCAGCTGGAAAACCACTTTTAAAAATATTCTGTAAACAAATATTTCGGTTAGATTTTGGTTTCTCACCCAAATGCTATTTATTCTCGGGGATTCGAGGTGATGTCTTAGCGGCGATGGATACATTATTTTTACTCTTTCTTCTTGTTCATCCCTGCTTTCTCCCCTCCCCGGGTGGGGAAAATATTTAAACGAGAGATTGCCAACCGACACTCGCACGCATTAGAAATTCTCCACCGCCTAATTCCGGCAGAGACGCTAAAGAGTTAAATACAGAGCCTGTTGTTTCCTTTCTGTCCCCGCCCCCCACCCACTCCCACAGAACTGCTGGGATTGGTTGGCACTCCGCCAGCGGGTTGTCAATCATCGAGTGTAAACAAGGCGCTGATTGGCTCTTGTCCAGTCCGCACTGGGCCTTCTGAAAAAAGCAATTACTGGCTCCGCGGTTTCAAGGCGGCCCAAGGCCGCTTGATGAAAGGAGATAAGCTGGGGACCGTTTCCAGGATCCCCGCGGGCCGACCCCAGCAGCCCTGGAACCGAGGTGCGGCTAAGAGCCTGCGGATCAAAGGAATCCGGAGAGAAAGGGGAAGCGGGCGGACTGCCCAGCCGGCCTTCCCCTCCCCCCCTGCCCTGCGGGCAACTCGGACCTGGGATGGGGGGCCGCGGGCGGGGACTCCGGGATTTCCCGCTCGCCGGAGACCCGGCCTCCGCCGGCGTCCGCGTCGCGGCCAGAGGGGAACTCCAGAGAGTCCAGGGCTCGCAGGTAAGAGCCGGAGCTCCGCAGGCCGGGCTGGGACGCAGGACAAGGTGTACCGGCCAGCCCCGGCCGGCCCGGGGGAGGGGTAGCAGCGGCACGGGTCAGAATCCCGGCTCCAGCGACTCCCAGACCCAGCGGCTGGGACTTCTAGGACCCCACCCCGGTGCGAGACCCCAGGCCCGCGCCTTGGAAAGCGGCGCCTGACGAGGTGCAAGCTGGGAGGAAAGGCGGCGCGACTAAGTCCCATAAAGCTCCCGAAGATCCGATTAGCACGCGGCTATTCATTAGGCCGGGGGCGATTGAATTAGTTCCTGCGTGCAGGCCCCGCGGGGGAGGCCGGCGCGGACTGGCCGCCCCGCGGGCGCGGGCAGGGCAACACGGACCACCGCGCGGGTGCCTGGCCTGGGCGGACTGTAGGCAGCATTGGCCCCGGCGCGTGTCCAGCCCCGCGAGCTGCATGCGGAGGCTGCCAGCTGCCCACGCACATGAGGACTGCCGACCCGAAACCCGCCCGGCTCCGGAGAAACCGCGCCCGGGAAGAAGAGAGCAGACGGGCGACTGAGCGTCCAGCCCCAGGACCTCACGCTGGGATTCTTGGCCGGGCACCTGCCCGGAGCCCTCCGAAGGTAGGAGGCGAGGGTCGGAAGCCAGGCCGAGCCGCCCCGGGGGCGCCGGTTTCACGCTGTGGTGCCGAGTCGGTGCAGGGTGCAGCCTGCAGAAAGCCTGCGTTTCCCGCTCATGCTCCGAAAAGCAAGCTTGCCCCGAAGTTTTTCAGTCCAGGAACCTATCCCCCCGCCCCATTTTTTTACCTTAATTTTTAAGTAAAGAAAATGAGAGAAAAAATAAATGTGAGAAAATTCTTGGAACCAACACAAAGCACCTTGGCGACCGGTGGTCCTTGACTCTCCGGAGCTTGCGCAGTGGCTGGCGCAGGGCCCCCCCAGGCCACTCGGGTCCTCCAGAGTGTTGAGAAGGGGGACCAGCTGGGAAGGCGCCTCAGGGCGCCCATCCCGTGGCCCCCTCAACCGAGGGAAGGTCGGTCGAGGGGCCTAGAGCCGGCTGCCCCAGCCCCAGGAGAGTAGCCACCTGCATGCTGGCTGCAAGATGGAAGAGACCAGGGTAGCACCTGGGTGTGGGCCTCCCTGCCTCAGGAGGGCTTAGGTCCTTATGGTTGAGCATAACCAAGCTCCTAATTTAGGAGTGAGGACTGTGTTCCGAATTCCCAAGTACTGTCCCCTGGCTGGCTCCCCCTCTCCCAGAGAGGGGCTGCTCTGTGGCCCTTCCCATGCCCTCCCCAGTTCACTGAAACCAGTCCGGTGTGCTGTTTCCTTCTGTACTGTTTCAAAGCAGTTGTTACCAGCAAGTAGCTGCAGACGGCCCGTTGTGTGCCGCAGAGGTTGGCAGCTGCCCAGCGTGCCTGGCCCCGCAGCCACTTCCCAAGTACCAAAGTAAGTTCCCTGCTGCCCTGGGAAGGCTGGCTGGCCTGAGGTGGCTGTGTTGCTCTCGGCCAGAGGACCCTCCCTGGTTTCCCTGTCCTCTCACTGTCCAGAGCTAACAGGCTTTTCAGTCTTAGAGGAGCGTGGTGTGGGGTCTGCAGCATGCCTTGGTGGGGCAGGAGGGGAAGAGGAGAAGAGGACAGTGCAGCGGTGCCGGAGAGCCCGGGTCTCTGCAGTTGTCTGGGCTTGCGAGAAGGCTTCTGGTAGTGCTGGACCCTGGACCCTGGACAGGCCCAGTGCACAGGCTGGAGCCCCCACTGCCGCTTGGCCAGCAGGCAGGGACACCCACAGAGCCAGCCGTTCTGGGCACGGGGCAGTGCACACTGCATTTACACAGCGTGCACGCACTCACGTGCTCACGTACTGCCCACAGCACACCAGCACATGTGGGAGTCCGTCGCGGCAAGTCACTCACACATGGACTTGTGCACCAAACACGCATCGCACGTGCCTGTCATACGTGCAGAAGCATTCCCGAGAACGACCTCACCCCAAGCTGGGGGGCCTGACACCCCAAAACCTCTCCTGGCCTGGGAGCCCCTCCCACACTCACCCCCTGACAGCAGATGTGCTCCCCATTCTGAGTGTCAGTGAGGTACCCAAGGGCCATTACTGGCCGGAGAGCAACAGGGACTGTGCTGGGTGTCTCCACCGTTCCCTGGGCTGTTAGTCAAAGGGCAAATTGGAAACTATTTCTTTTTTTTTTTGGAGAGGTTTTTTTCGCTATAGGGCACATGCGTTCACCAGACAGAGACAGAGACAGAGAGACAGAAAGCGAGAAATCACTCTCCGGGGGGATGGTCATGCCACAATCCCTTCTCCTCCATTCTCCTCTCGGGATCTTGGGCACGCACGCGCCCGGCGTGAGTTTTAAGCCACCGGGTCTGGGACGCAAACTGCGGTCGACTACGTGGGAGTCCAGTGGCATTGCCATTACGCTAACTGCTGGTCCCCTTAACAATTTCTTGACAACAAAAATTCACTCTTAATTCTTGCCACCAGAGCCCTGGGGGATGGGACAGGTCCAGGAGGCCAGGCCTAGGGTGAAGGGGCAGGGTGCAGGCAGGCTGGTTGGTCTGCAGGCTTCTGTGGTTGGGAGCTTAAATGAGCTCAGAACTGTTCTGGAGGGGAGATGAGGGTAAAAATGCCCTGGTGGGGAGAGGAGGAAGCGCTGCTGGGGCAGAGCCCCCACCCTCATCCCCAGTGCTCACCCCTCCCAAGCAGGCCCTGGAGGCCCTGAGGGCTCGGGGTGACGGGAGAGGATGCAGGCCAAGCAAACCGAGCTGGAATCCAGGGAGCTGGAATCCAGGGCCGGGCCTGCAGCCTCCCGGGCAGGCGTCCCCAGGATGGTGGAGCTGGGATGTGAGCACAGCTCCCCAGGCCCCCCTGGGGAGGCACAGGCTGCACCTGCAGGCATAGACCGTCTCCAAGACAGACTCAAAGACCTGGTGTAAGCTTTAAAAGCCGCGCAAGTAAGACGGGAGAAAGCTTGAAGTAGGTGAACAGCCCTGCCTCCCCGTTCTCCTGAGTGAGCATCCATTCCTGTTGTCGCTCTGTCCAACCAGGTCAGGAGGCTGCCCAGCCTGCGTCCCTGCTTTGCGAAGGTGCCTGTTAAACACAGACTCGCAATCTGTTGCTAAATATAACCCAGCGTTCACCTGGAAGGTGTAATTCAGGGTGCTTGTACACGGTTACCAACTGGCAGACTTTGGGTTACAAAAGCGCGATCTTCCGAGGACAGCATGGCTGCCCTGCTCTCCCTGCCCCTGCCGGCGATGGTGCGCGTAATACTAACTACTCAAGGGGGCTGAAGAAGGTGGGGCGACGCCTGGGACCCCCAGGCCGGGGAGGGTGCCTCCAGTCCCCATTCCACTCACATTGCCCTGTCCCCTTGTCTGAGGCCCGAGAAAGGCCCACGTCCTCAGAGGACACCACTGGTACAGTGGGGGGCCCCTCCGCAGGCCGTTGGTCCTGCTGAGTCTGGGGTGGGCTTGGAGGGGAGGTTTTCTGGGAATTTACACTCAGCCTCAAGCCCAGAGGGGTGCAGGGGTGCACTCTGGGTTTCTGGAATGGGAGGAACCCATTTTCTTTGCAGGAGCTGACCCAAACCAGCCCTCAGTCTTCCTGCCTTAAGGAAGGACCCTGTGCTGATGGGAGCCAGGCTCTGCCAGGAAAGCCCGGACCAGCAGGAGAAGGGAGGGCCCCCGTAAGTACAGTTTCTGGGGTCCTTCCAGCCAACTCCAAGCAGAGCCTGGCTCAGGCCCTCCCTTCAGGGACCCCCGCCCACACTCCCACAGGGGCCTGGCTGTGGAGGAAGTGCCAAGTAAGCAGAGTGACTGCAGGCTGCCTCAGCTCCCTGTGTCTGGATGTTTACAAGGTGCCGGTTGCACCTGGACAGGGGTCCTCAGGGCTGGGCTTCCCTGAAGAGTCCAGCCTCGGCATCAGCGTCTCTGATCAAGCCTGCAAGCCCAGGAGCAGAACCCACAGGATGGGGGACCCAGATTCCGGCTCTGCTGGACTGCCCCTCCCTGCACGCCCTTGCCCCTGCAGGACCCGGCACAGGAGGCGGCCCAGCCTGCCGGCCACACACTGGGCACGCCTGTCCTGCTGTCTCCTGGAGCCCCAAGACAGCACTCTACTGTTCTCCAGTCCAACCACTGACCCTGTAGTCTCAGATGGGCAAGGGTGTCCCCCCCAAGGACTGCTGGGAAGGCAGAAGACAGAAGCCTCCTTCCTCCCCTTCCGGAGGGGTGATTCCTTGGCCTGGTTATCGTCAGCCTGTATAGACGGAAAGTGAGTCATTACCACTAAAATTCCCACAGAACAGCCAGGGTCTGCAAAGCCCACACCCGGTCTGGAGTGCAGCAGCAGGTTGTCTGGAGGTGTGGCCACCACCTGGTTTCTGCTTGCCTGGCCTGGAGTGTGGCCACCGGTCCATCATTAAATTAAAAATAATTCACTAGATCCATTTATGTATTATTATTATCTTAAGCTGCACAAATACATATTCCACCCAGTTCCTGAGGCATCAAAACGGAGCAGGCAGTAAACCCCCAGCCAGGAGGGGTTTTCCCGAAAGTGCCACAGGGAGGCTCCCCCAGAAAACTCCGGACTTCCAACAGCCCAAGTCCGGACAGCAGGAGCCGGCCCTCCCGCAGCCACTTCTGCGTGGCCTTCGCCAACAGTCCACCGGGTCAGCGTCGCGGAGGCCCGGAGCGCTGCGCCTGGCTGTTTCAGCCTGCAGCCAGAGCCCTGCGGGTCTGGCTGGTGGAGGCGCAGACACTGACGGTGGCATTTTGCCCCAGCTCAATAGAATTGTTTGCTTTATTTTCTTCTCTTGAATAATAGTGGGACTTGGAGAGGCACCACGCCTCCTGAAACGGGTGGTAAAAAACCAAAGCCCCAGCATCCACGCCAGAAACAAAAGCCCATTGCAGACGCCCCGCAGGGGCTCGCGGAGCGCGCTCTCCCGGGCGCGGGCGGACGGAGCGCGCCGCC